TGCAAAAAGTGTTCAGAATCAAAGATTTAGGAGAATTGTCATACTTCCTTGGATTAGAGGTATCTCGGGCTAAGGAGGGCATACTGCTTAGTCAACGGAAGTACATTATAGATCTGTTGAGTGATCATAATATGGAAGACTGCAAACCAGTGAATACTCCGATGGAGTTTAATCTTAAACTGAGTAAGGATTCCGGGGCTAAAGTGAAGGATGGGTCACAGTATCGTAGCATCGTTGGAAGTCTGATCTATTTATCTGCGACTCGACCAGATATATCTTATGCAGTTCAACTGGTTAGTCAGTTTATGGGAGATCCTCGGGTTGATCATCTAGCAGCATTATATCGTATACTCAGGTACCTGCAGGGAACAAAGGATTTGGGCATATTTTTTCCTGCATCAGGATCGACAGTCTTGCAGGCTTACTCTGACTCAGATTATGCAGGATGTGTTGATACCAGACGATCCACTACAGGCTTGTGTGTTCAGTTTGGGAATTCATTTATTTCCTGGAGGTGCAAGAAGCAGGATAAAGTCTCCAAGTCATCGACCGAAGCTGAATACAGGGCAATGTCAGATGTTGCTTCTGAGTTAACATGGTTGCGACGTTTGCTTACTGATATGGGAGTGATGTGCACCAGTCCCATGGATTTGTATGTTGATAATACCAGCGCAATTCGGATAGCAGAGAATCCAGTTCTCCATGATCGTACAAAGCATATAGAGATCCATGTTCATTATGTTCGAGATGAAGTTCGTGATGGGACGATTGCTTTACACTACATACGGACTGAAGACCAGGTAGCAGACTTGCTTACGAAGACTTTCTCAACAGGACGACATCGTTTTCTATCTGGCAAATTGATGCTTGTAGACCGGCATCAATTTGGGGGAGGCTGTTGAATGCTATGCAGTCTGGGCTCTCTACGTTGCTTGTACATAGTAGTGGGCCAATGCTTATGTAGTATGTATTTGTGGCCCATGCAACCCATGCAAGCCCACGTAGGGAAGTTGAATACGTGTAGCTAGGGTTCGGCTACAGGAGAGTGTATTTAGTAGTGCCGCCGCTGATCATGTACATTCAACAAATCATTAGTGAGATCAGTAGCTGAAGAGTGCTTGAGCTCTTCCGTGGATTAGTCCTGGAATTCCAGGGATACCACGTAAATCCGTGTCCGATTTCCATTTCCGATCGTATTTCTGTTTAGATAAGTTAACACCAACATGATATTATTACTACGGTAAAAATTAATTATGATCTAACATGTTGGAGCATTGAATTCATAGCTCCATCAACTATTATGAAATATGGATCATCTAGCTTCTCTAGTTCAAAAAGGAGGATTTCAAGCTCAAGGGTTCCCGAGCATGCAGAACATGGGAATCAACTCTGCAAATCATGCTCCTGAAGTTTCTGAGCTTTAAGACTTGTTTCTTTGCATCGAGTCTCAGAATTCTACTTGAGTGAATGCTCGAGCAAAGCCCCTGCCCCTGGATTGGAGAGGCAGCGCCTAAAACTCTACACTGTTAGTTATTTTTGTCTACGATTTCAAGCAACAATTAGATCAAAACAGATCGCCTTCCTCTTCTACATTCTATCTGCCTAATAAAACTTAGGGCACATAATTAACATCTGCAGATAATTTACCGTAATTCAGAACCTGCATGGATGTGCCATTTGAATACGTGAACAACGAAAACAAGACAACCTTCTGATGATTCTGATAAATTAATGTATGCTTAAAATGAACAATTTATGCATGTTTTTCAGGAAACTTATAAACATGATGGTAAAACAAACTACCTCGCACGGTTATCGTCAAACTAGTACCACACCATCTATGAGTCGGTTCCTTCTGCTATCACAGTTTCTATTTCGACGTCTTTCAGTTGATGTCGCCAACAGCTACCATTTTTGCAGCACATAGTTTCCAAGTACTCTAATTAGAGTGTGGTATAAGATCCAACATAACCTTCTCCCAACAACTCGAGTTATTGGGATCAACTGGTTCTTGACATGGTATCAGAGCCCAAAACCGAAAGGTCATGTGTTCGAATCTCCACGACCCCCAATATTAACCGTGTCTCTCAAGCACATGGTATGGTGGGCATATGCAAACTTCAAGCCCATAGGTTGGCTTTCGCTTGAGGGGCGTGTTAGAGTGTGGTATAAGATCGTGCATAACCTTCTCCCAACAACGAGTTATTGGGATCAACTGTCCTATTCGTGCTGCGAGAAATCGATGCTCCTGATCTGGTTAGTCTCAGCATCACTACCGACTCTGCCATCAACATTGAAATTGTCAATGTGGCTTCCAACTGTGAATGTGTAGTTGATTTGATTGGCATGTGAAAGAAGATAGGTTGACGACGGATTGGTTTGTCGAGTTGAGTGGGTGTCTCGCAACGCTCACTCGATTCCCTCGCAACCCCGGCTTTAAGGTTGCAGTTTCGGCCATCTGAGATACACATTCTCTCCTCTAGGGATACAACACTTAAAATTGGGGATATGTATTGTTCCCCATCTGAGAACTACCCGACGATGAAGGGAAGAGATGCTAATCTTCTTCTTGATGGTCTTTCTTGAACTTGTCGTCCTCAGATATGCCACAACTGTATGTCTGTATCGGTCCGTCGATGCATTTCCAGTGAGTCTACTCTCTAAAAACTCAATCACCACTACTGCTTATGTTTAAGTTTGATTTGAATTTTGATACAGACGAACTTACGCTTATGTTGCAATCATCGAAACAGGACGCTTGCAAGCAGCTCATAGACAACAAAGTTTGAAAGTTGCTGCCAAACTTGTAAGTACTGTTGGCGACAACAACTGAAAGATGTGAAAATACAGATTTTTACGGTCGATCGTGATTCAGACGTAGCAAACCCATCAAGTTTGTTTTATGTTGTGAGGTGATATCAGATGTGTTTGAAAGTGTTGACAACATGAGCTTTTCTTTCCGTCCAACATTGGTTGCCCAAGGGACAACTGAGAAATGAGTCAATAGTATTTTCGCTGCCATGACTTGACATCAATAGAACTTTGATTAAACTACATGCAGAAAAACAATGGATGTACGACAAGAATAAATTCTTAGACCCCGACACTTATAGAAAGTTAGGTTGGATATTTCATTATAGAAAGTGAAGAATGAAGATGCTTTTTTTAGTTATCAACATTTTTGTAGGATTTTTTTTTAATCCTGTTTCAGTCATGTAACAGGGGAGGCGTCTGATTTGTGAAAGGGTGGGTTGGCCGCTGTTCTATATCTACACTCCACGATGAATATTAGTAATAACGTAATGTTTATTTTTTATCTAATTTTTTTTCCATATTCTTTTATATTATTCAAACCTATTAAAATGCTATTAATTAGCTATATCTTGCATAATGCATCAAAATATTAGTCATTTTTACGTTATCGTTAATAATTTTGTAACTCTTTTCTTAGTTAAAATATTAAAATTTTGGAATGTTGGCCTCCATGTGTCTCTTCCAAGCCAGTATCATATTGCCAAGTCAATATTACCAACATAATTGCTAATTAGAAGTTAACGTTTGACTAATTCTTAGTTTTTCGATAGATTTGACTAATAAATAATCATTACCCTTAGTAATATGATAAGAAAATAGAAAGAGCAATGAGTGATAATGGAGTCCCTAGTGGTCTATTTATAATCAAAAGCTTGTCTATTTATAAGCACTTTCTCCTCTTTTCTGGGTAATAAAAGTCATCATACATAAAAATGAAAAATGAGATGAAACCAAGAGAGTTGCTGAGTTGAAGATCGGACTTTTTGGGTCAAACGGATCGAGAAGTATGAGTTGGTTTAGGTTTTCTGACGTGGCGGGTCGAGTTCTAATTTTTTCGAGTTAAAATTGGATATCGTCAACGGAGATTGGTAAAGGTAACGACCATCGACCAAACTTCCAATTACCTATCATTATTAGTCTTTTTACTTTAAAAATTAAAGACAAATTATAATTTATTTTGTAAACTTTCTGCATATAACTTCTGAACGTAATTCATCATTGCTATTTCCAAAATTGCAATATTCTGTATGCATTTGAGATAGATCATATTTAAAGTGTAAAAAACTATAATATTAAGTCAATATGAAAAACCTATGATGTATATGTTAGATGTTATATTACCAATATATCTAATTTTTAATTAAAAGAATATATTATGTAATTGGAAATCATCCCATGAATTCCTTACAAATCCAAATATCATATGTAATTAATATCAAATAAATAATTTTGAAAATTCAAATCCAAAAATACCAAATTCAAATTATTTTATCCAAAAACACTTTTATTGTCTTTCTGAGCTTGCGACTTGCTTCTGTAAATGGCTTTTCAGAATTCTTCTCGAGTGAGTGCTGAAGCAAAGCCCTTGCGCCTAAAACAGAAGCCCTTCTTCTCCTACATTCTCTTTGTCTAATATATCTTAGGGCACAAAAGCTAGCATCTGCAGATAATTTAACGTAATTCAGAACATGCCATTTGATCGCATAGATTAATATTGTATACATAGAATGAACCATTTATGCATGTTTTTAAGAAACTTAACGTGATGGTAAAACACATTACCTCACACGGTTATCGTTAAAGTAGTACCATGCCATGTAAGAGTTGGTTCTTCTGCAGTAACCATTTCTATGTCGACATCTTTCAATTGATGTCGCCAACAACTACCATCTGATCTGTAGCAGTTTCCCAGTACTTGAAGTCTGAACGGCAGTCTCTGCATCGATACCGAAGATGGCGTCCATAATATCAATGTTATCAACGTCGCTTCCAATTGCCAATGTGTAGTTGATTGGCGTATCAAACCATTCACGTTGACCACAAATTGGTTTCCCTGGCTGAGGTCGTGTTTTGCAACACTGACTCAATTCCCTCGCCGCTCGGTTTTGAACTTGTACATCCATCCATGGAAACACGTAAAGGAGGTATGGTATGGTTGTGTATTATTATATAATATGCCTCGATTCGTTTATACGTTATGTTTACTTACTATTGGAGATGCATGTTTCTGAATGATCTATCTATGTTATGATAACATGCATTTGGAGTAGGTGTTCGATCCCAAAGAATTACTTGAATGCGCATCCTCTCCTCCACTAGAGGTGCAACGTTTACAACTCGGGCGGGGCTACTCGTCCAAACTTTTTGACGAGGATGCATCATATACCATCCCTATTCTTGAAGGTCTTTTGAGGACCTGCCATCCTAAGACAATATCCCTAGGTCAAGATGCTAGTCCGACGGATCGAGTGCAGGAGAGGGGCTGAAGTGAGGTGGAGATGCAATTTGGGGCCACCAAACCTATGCACACCAAGGGTTTTCAAGTTGGGATGGGAGACATCCAAGCTGTCGAGCCCCCCGTTGTTACAAGAGAAGTTCAAATGCAACGTCTCGAGTTTCGGCGTATTGGGCAGGAGGCAGATCTGTAGAATCTGTTGGGTGATGCGGCAGTTGACGAGACGGAGTTCCTCAAGGCTGTCCAGGCGTATGTTGTTGTAACGGTTACTGTTGTAATGGGTCAGGTCGCAACCTCCGAGGCTGAGAAACTTGGTGCGACGGCAACTGAAAAACGCTCCGTCAGGCAAACGATAAATAAAGGTGGGAAGGCAGTGAAAGTCAATCCGAAGCGGGGATCTGCTGCTGCTGCTGCTGCAGCAGCCGTCGTTGGTGGGCAGCAACGACGCCGTAGACAGCAACTCCTCCAGCAGCTTCTCGTTGTTACTTGAGTATTTGAATGAGATGCTGAAGGTGTCTAGAGGCGGTGATGCTGCCCTTTCTTGCCTCCGCTGCAGCCTCATGGTAGTGGCATTGGCGAAGCTTTGGAACTTGTCTGTAGGATACCACGAAAATTGGACGAAAGGGTAAGTTTGCCAGAGGTGATGCCAGGTTCTTGACAAGATGCTCGTTCTCGCCGCTTCCCGTGGGTAGTAGAGGAGATGAAGGATTTGGTGGATGATTTCCTCAGGGAGCTCCGAGATCCGGTCCTCGTGAACGCAGCTTCTCGACGACTTCTTGCTGGAGATCGTCATGGTCGTCGGCAGCTATTGCGTTGCTTGCGGCGGAGACAAAGAGCAATTGCTACCGCCTATGGCGGATATATATATACACACGTGAAACCTAGCTAGGTTTTTTTTTTGTCCGGCACCGACGTCCAATTATTACGTGTTATGTCTCCCAACGTGGAGAGGTTTCAGTAGAATTCCACGTTGGTTTCCTTGTCCTAGTTGGGTTTTATTTCCTTGTTTGTCAAGCCTTGTCTTAATCGGGCTGTACGAGGGAACCCTAGCTAGCATATATAAATAGTTGAGCTACCGAGTTGTGGAGCCAACAAGTCCTGTCGCAGTCATAATAATAAAAGTCAAGTCGAGAGCTCTTTCGAGCTCTCCGTGGATTAGTCTCGTTCACATTGAACGAGGATACCACGTAAATCGTTGTCTCGTGTGTTTGTCAATTCCGCGTATGTAATTTTTTATGGTATCAGAGCTTTGATCCTGTCCAGCTTCAAAGTTTGTCTTGCATACTTCTTCGAGTCTCCTGGTTACTTGTCTGTGAAGTCCCGTCATGGCTGACGACACGTCCTCGACCAGCGAAGAAAAGAAGCCTGTTGATGGCGAAGAGAAGAAGCCTGCTGTCGGCAAAGATGGTGCTAATATCGGCCCTACATCGCCCCTCTTTCTGCATCCGTCAGATGCCCCAAGTCAAGTCTTCGTTGGAGATCTTCTCACCGATGTCAATTACGGTGAGTGGTCTGCAGAGATGTCCAACGCACTTATTGCCAAGAACAAATTCGGTTTTGTTCTTGGAACCGTACCTCATCCTGCATCTAGCGAGCATCTCAATGCTTGGGTTAGATGCAACGCCATGGTGGTGGGTTGGCTTCGTCAAGCCATGTCAAGAGAAATTCGCTCTAGCTTGAGTACAGGATTCACCGCTCAACAAATCTGGGAGGAGCTTCAAGAACGTTTCAGTACAGGCTCTCTTCCCCGGAGGTACAAGATTCGACGTCAGATTACTAATTTGCGTCAGGATCGTTTGAGTGTGTCTGCTTTCTACGCCAAACTCAAGCGGCTATGGGATGATTGGTTGTCACTTGATCCACCGGCCAAATGTACTTGTGGCCGTTGCACGTGTAACGTCGAAAAACGAACACGTGAATCACATGAAGCAATGAGGCTTCTGGATTTCTTGGTTGGCCTCGATGACAAGTTCTCAACGGTGCGCACCCATCTGCTGTCCATGAAGCCACCGCCCAGCTTAGGCGAAGCCTACCACTCTGTTGCCAATGTTGAGCAACAACGAAACATCACTCAAGAGAACAAGTCCCGTGTCGAGGCTGCTGCCTTTCAAGGCCAAGGAGAGCGAACAAAGTCTGAGGAAAGAACCCTTGATGGAAGGCCAAAATGCACCCACTGTGGTAAAATCGGTCACTTACGTGACAATTGCTATGATCTTGTTGGATGGCCACCGAAGTCAAGTGATAAGGGCGATAGGCCGCGTCGCCGAAATCAGTCACAGCAGCAACGATCTTCTCCACAGGCAGCTGCCGTCGAGAGTGGAGAAGTAACTATCCCTGGCCTCACCTCGGAGCAAGTAGCCCAGCTCAAGGCGTTCCTTAACTCAGAGCCTAAAGCAGCCGCAGTCAATCCCGAGCAGCCAAAAGCGAACATGTCAGGTTTGTCTTCTAGTCCTTCTCCGGATGTATGGGTGATCGATTCTGGTTGTAATGAGCATATTGCTAAAAATGTCTCATTGTTTGATGGTGAGCTTGAGTCCAACTCGGCTTTACAGGTCAGAATACCTAATGGTACAGGTATTCCGGTTCGGGGTATTGGTCAATCGACTTTGGCCAATGGTTTAACTCTGCAACGTGTTCTGCATGTCCCTGAATTCCAGTGCAATCTGTTGTCCGTCAGTCGTCTCATAGCAGATCATTCAGTAGCTGTGATATTTCTAAGCAATTTTTGTGCTATTCAGGACTTAAGATCGAAAGCGATGATTGGTACGGGTAAACATGTAGATGGGCTTTACTATCTGCGAGTCTTCGATCGTAGTCATCCAGTGGCGTTCGCAGTTCAGCAAGCAGTCCGGGATTCAGAGCTTTGGCATGCTCGTCTTGGTCATCCGTCAGCCGCCAAGCTCACAGTTTTACAAGATTATCTACCTAGTCCTATAGTAGTCAGTAAAGAACCTTGTCAGTCATGTCTTCGTGCTAAGCAAACTCGGCTTCCTTTTGTTCTTAGCAGCATCAAAACCAAGTCATGTTTTGAACTTATTCACATTGATATCTGGGGAGGATACAATCAGGCTTCCTTTTCAGGAGCACATTATTTTCTTACCATTGTGGATGATTTCAGCAGATGTGTTTGGGTCTATTTGTTGAAAACCAAGTCCGAAGTTGCTCGATATTTGTTGCTTTTCTGTAATCAGGTTCGTGTCCAGTACAATGGTCAAGTCAAGCGGATCCAGAGTGACAATGGCCGTGAATTTTATGTTCCTGAGCTGCGCGACTATTATGAAAAGGAAGGAATAATTCACCAAACGTCATGCACCGACACTCCTCAGCAAAACGGAGTAGTGGAACGCAAACATCGTCATTTATTGGACACAGCTCGGGCGCTTCGTTTTCATTCCGGGTTATCTATTCATTTTTGGGGGGAGTGCATCCTTACGGCAGCATATTTGATTAATCGGATGCCTCTCACGGCCATCCAGAACAAGACGCCGTATGAAGTTTTGTTAGGCGCCATCCCCAAATATGATCATCTCCGAAAATTCGGGTGTCTTGTCTATGCTAAGGACACACTCTGGTCTATCGAAGTTTGCGGCACGAGGCAAGCCAGGAATCTTTGTTGGGTATCCCGCCTCGCAGCGTGGGTATCGTATTTTTGATATTGATCGTCATGTCATTTACACTTCTCGGGATGTCTTCTTCTTGGAACATATCTGTCCGTTTCATAAGTTTCATCCTGCTAAAGTAGCTCCATCACAACAGCTAGCGTTGGATTCGTCTGATCCTTTGCGCCCTTGTTTTGATGATAATGGTGATCGGGATCTTCTCCAAATGGTACAAGAGGTGGCCGACTCTCTTGATGAAGTAGACGTTGACTCCAGTGATGAGAATGGCACCTCATCCCTCCACTCTGCGTCTGCCTCGCCCACAGTAGATCAGCCTTCCTCTCCACCTTTGTCAACAGGGGGAGAATTACCACCCACATCCAAGCAAGGGGGAGTAGTCTGCTCGCAAAAGGGAAAAGTCCCTTCTGCTACTGATTCCGTCACCAGTCCATCCGTCGAAGGTCAACAGGGTGTCCACCCCACTTCGACGCCCGATGTCATCACAAGTCAACCCAAAGGTCAACAGGGTGTTCACCCTACTTCGGCTCCTGTCATATCGTCTTCCTCGAACCCGTCTTCAAGCGAGGAACCCCCAGCCACTTCTCATCCAGTCCGAAAGAGCACTCGTGTTCCCAAACCATCGGTCCGACTGCGAGACTATGACGTTGAATTACCAGGTCACTCCGCCACTGCACAACAAGTTCTCTATCCTATGTGCAACTACGTGAGCTACGAAAAATTGTCACCCGAGCATCGGGCCTACTTGAGTAATGTCTCTACAGTTTTTGAACCCACTTATTATTGGCAAGCCGTGAAGTACCAACATTGGTGGGAGGCCATGCATAAGGAGTTCAATGCCCTTGTCGAAAATGGCACATGGTCACTTGTTCTACTACCACCAGGCAAGCATGCTATAGACTCGAAATGGGTCTACAAGGTCAAGTATCTACCTGATGGATCCGTGGAACGTTTCAAGGCACGTCTCGTAGCCAAGGGTTTTACCCAGGTTGAAGGAGTTGATTATCATGACACTTATGCTCCAGTAGCAAAGTTAGTCACAGTCCGATGTCTTCTCGCAGTTGCAGTCAATCAAGGATGGTTCATTCACCAGTTGGACGTCAATAATGCGTTTTTGCATGGTGATCTCACAGAAGAGGTCTACATGAAGGTCCCGCAAGGTTTCTCTACTCCTAGTGATTCCCGTGTCTGTCGATTGCATAAATCGATTTATGGTCTCAAACAAGCCTCTAGGAACTGGTATCAGAAATTTTCACAGGCTTTGCTTCGATTTCAGTTCGTGCAAAGTCGAGCAGATCACTCATTATTTATTCATCGGTCTGGTTCCAGTTTCGTGGCTGCATTAATCTATGTCGACGATGTCATCCTCACCGGCAACGATGCTACTTTCATTCAACAAGTCAAGGATTTTCTTCATGTTGAATTCACTATCAAGGATTTGGGGTCATTGAAGTATTTTCTCGGTATTGAAGTGGCTCGTTCTCGAAAAGGGGTCGTTCTCAACCAACGCAAGTATGTGCTGGACATTCTTGCTGATTGTGGTCTCGAGGCTACTCGACCGTGTTCCACTCCTATTAAGGTAAATCATCAGCTAGGCCGTCTACCTTCCACTCCTGCCGCTGATCACTCTAGCTATCGTCGTCTGGTAGGGAGGTTACTCTATCTCACTGTCACGCGTCTAGACATTCAATATGTAGTGAATATGATAAGTCAAGCTGTACATGCTCCCACCCAGGCGCATGTCGACGCTGCTGTACGTGTATTGAGATATTTGAAGCAATCCCCTGGACGTGGACTTTTCTTCCCAGCGCATTCGAGCTTGACCCTCACAGCTTTTTGCGATGCTGATTGGGCAGGATGTCCTCTCACTCGTCGGTCCACGACAGGTTATTTTATTCGTCTTGGTGGTGCCCCCATTTCTTGGCGTACCAAGAAACAGTCCGTTGTTGCTCGTTCTTCTGCCGAGGCACAGTATAGAGCTATGGCCACCACCGTGAGTGAGTTGATATGGCTTCGTTGGCTACTGTTGGAGCTTGGGTTTCCGATGTCTTCTGCAACACCTCTCTATTGTGACAGTCAAGCATCCTTGCACATTTCGGCTAATCCGGGTTTCCATGAGCGAACTAAACATGTCGAGATGGATTGTTACTTTATTCGTGAACGTGTTCTTGCACAACATATCGCCCCTCGCAAGATAGCCACCGCCGATCAACCAGCTGATCTCTTCACCAAAGGTCTCAGCGTTGCCCAGTTTCAGCACCCTCTTTCCAAGCTAGGCATGCTCGATATTCACGCCTTAGCTTGAGGGGGAGTATTACGTGTTATGTGTCCCAACGTGGAGAGGTTTCAGTAGAATTCCACTTTGGTTTCCTTGTCCTAGTTGGGTTTTATTTCCTTGTTTGTCAAGCCTTGTCTTAGTCGGCTGTACGAGGGAACCCTAGCTAGCATATATAAATAGTTGAGCTACCGAGTTGTGGAGCCAACAAGTCCTGTCGCAGTCATAATAATAAAAGTCAAGTCGAGAGCTCTTTCGAGCTCTCCGTGGATTAGTCTCGTTCACATTGAACAAGGATACCACGTAAATCGTTGTCTCGTGTGTTTGTCAATTCCGCGTATGCAATTCTTTACCAATTTATTAGGATTTTAATAACAGAACTAGGTGGACTATGTGTCACGCTTCCCTGTGGCTTCTCATAGGATTAGATATATTGTTTGCTAACCCGTATTTGATTTGTAATCGTGTTTAGCAGTGGTCCAGTGGAAAAACTCCTAACAGAATGTAAATTGGTAGGAGATTTTAATTGTATGAAATGATTTAATCACAGTTGAACTTTAATTTTAGAAGAAAAATACATTGTGGCTCGGGTTGAAGCAACATGTCAACCCTGATTTAACGACGATTGAACTATAATTTTAGCACAAAATATCATAATTCTAACTTTCCTGGTACGACATTCGATATAGTATTACAATTTTTGTTAGTTTTTTTTTCTTGAACACAAATCAAGGCTCGGCTTGGAAGCAATGTGTCAAGCCTGTTTTTAACACAGTTACACTACTATTTTAGTACAAAATACTGTAATAATAGCTTTTCCGGTATGACCTTATGTATGATTTTATAATTTTTGGATTTTTTAACATAATTTCGAGGCTCGGTAGGAGCAACATGTCAAGCCGTATTTAACCACGGTTGAACTACGATTGTCCCGTACTAGCGGTCCAATAAAAAAAGTCCTAATGAAATCTAAATCGGTAGGTGATTTTAGCTGTATGAAATGATTTAACCATGGTTGCACTACGGTTTTAGCACAAAATGCTCTAATGCTAATTCTCTCGGTACAACCGCCGGTATGGTTTTACAATTTTGAAATTTTCTGAACATGCATCGAGGCTTAGAGCAAAGTGTCAAGCCTGATTTAATCACTATTGAACTACGATTTTAGCACGAAGTACCCTGATGCTAACTATCAGTAGTGTCCGAGGTTGTGAATCTGGTTTGGCCCGTTGACCAGATCGAGTTAGTTGGTCAAGAATTTATAAGTATTTGTGAAACCATACGGTATTGGTGGTTCGACCATAAAAGTATTCTAACGGTAGACCTTGAGTGTATTTCTGTACTATTTGATACATTTATGGTATTATTTTGTGCTTTTTAAAGATATAAACCACTCAAGATGAATATGGATCACAAAGGGACCTCAAGAATCAGAAAAAGGAGGAAAATATGAACTCATGGACTCAAACATAGATGTATTTGGACATCGGATGCTCACTTTATGGACAAAACAAGCAGATCTGGTAGTGAAGCAAGTCCAACTTAGACCGAGGTCCAACCGGAGCTAGACAATACAAGTTGTGCCCAAATTTGGAGAAGAGGTTTCCTGTGGGCTAAGTAACAAAGCACAAGAAGAAAAGCCATGTTGGTCCCAACCGTCGTTGCACCGCTGCTCGGCCCAAAATGTACATGGGCGCTGGGCCGTGCTTGGGCCGGCACGGCACGGGCACGCTTCGGGCCCATTTATTTCGTGTCGTGCTTGACACGGCCCGTCATTTTTCGTGTCATGCCATGCAAGCCCATTTGTTAACTTTGCTAGGCCCCGGCCCGGGCACGGTTCGAATTGTGTCGTGCCTATTCGTGCTTGTGTCATGCTCGTATTCGTGTTTAATGAAAAGGACGAAAACAAAAGAGAGAATGAAAAAGAAGGTGAAAATTGTACGGTGGAAGATAGTATTAACCGAAAAATGTTTGAGAAAAGTAACAAATAAGGGGGGAAAGAAAATTGGAAGTATAGCGAGTGTGATTTGGCTTTGTTTAATTCTTTGTCCATTTTTACTTATGTTAGTAATTATGTATATATCTTTATGACACTTCTAACAACAACAAATAATTATTTTTCTACTTGTGTTTTATAATATTTGAACCTATAATTCTTTTTATATTTATTTTCTATCAAATAAATCTTATTTTGCCATGTCCGTTCTTATACTCAATATAGTCTCGAAAATATTAGGCCCGACATGGCCCACTTATATACCGTGCTCGTGCCCGTGCTCGTGCCGTGCCCAAAAATTTTAGGCCCGGCACGGCCCATAAATTATTCGTGCTCGTGCCGGACGGCCCATTTATTTCGTGCTCGTGCCGTGCTAGCCCGTGGGCGGCATAACCCAGTGCCACGTACAACCCAAAACCTCCAAGGAAGGTTCCTTAAGTAGTTACTTTGTCCGCAAATAAATGAATTCGAGTTCCAGTCGAAAAAGGACACTTTTGGGCGTCTTTAAGGAGAAACCCCCCTTCTGTAACCAATATAAATATATACAAAATAAATTATAATTTGTCTTTAATTTTTAAAGTAAAAAGACTATAAGACTGAATAATGATAGGTAATTGCAAGTTTGGTTGATGGTCGTTACCTTTGCCAATCTCCGTTGACGACGTCAGTTTTTTGCTGATGTGGCTGACAAAAATATGGAAACATCCAATTTTAACTCGAAAAAATTAGAACTCAACCCGCCACGTTATAAAACCTAAACCAACTCATACTTTTCGATCTGTTTGACCCAAAAAGTCGGATCTTCAACTCAGCAACTCTCTTGGTTTCATCTCATTTTTTATTTTTATGTATGATGACTTTATTACCCAGAAAAGAGGAGAAAGAAAGTGCTTACTCATTTTTCATTTTTATGTATGATGATTTTATTACCCAGAAAAGAGGAGAAAGTGCTTATAAATAGACAGGCTTTTGATTATAAATAGACCACTAGACGCTCCATTATCACTCATTGCTCTTTCTATTTTCTTATCATATTACTAACGCTAATGATTATTTATTAGTAAAATCTATCGAAAAATTAAGAATTAGCA